TATGTGGTGATTAGGGCACCTGGCTGGGGCTCAGGAAACTTGGTTTCTAGTCCCAGTTCTGCCACTGGCCTGCTAGATGACCTTGGGCAAGTCACTTCCTTTCCCAGTGCCTCAGTCTCCCCATCTGAAAAATGAAAATAATCATGCTGTCCTCGCTTGTAATGTACTTTGAGATCTGTGAATGAAAAGCACTATGTAAGAACTACTAGGAGGTGTTATAATGTAACTATAGTTCCCACCTTATCGTTCCCACTTCATAGTTCCCACCGTATTTTGAAATGAACCCTTATTTCTGTGTAATACTACGTTTATCCATGTAACTACCACGAAGGTTAATCAAAAGTATATAAAAAAGCCTCTTCCCAGCAGCTGTATAAACGGTCATACAGCTCTATCTGTATTCAGCACAAGCATACTGAAGACTGCTGGTGAGAACAAGAGTATATCAGCATTTCCCAATAGCTGGGAACTGGGTCCGTCCTGCTTCTCCGCTCCTGTAATATGAGCTAATGAAACTGTCTGAATATTTCCCAGATGTTTCCACTTGTTCTCTGGGAACGTGCAGTAGGCTGTTTGGAGAAGGTGTGTGCCTAAAACTGCAAAGGTGAAAGGATCTTCCTTTTGATACTTCGTGATAAAGAAATTCAACTAAATAATGTTCACATTAAGTAGGTAATTCCCTGGGCAGAATTAAACTGCTGAAAGACAATATATCAATCAGAGTGGAAACTGTCTGCAGGTTTTTTGGGGAGTTTCTTGTTGGCCTGATTATTGAGATTAACTTTTCAGAGACTTGAAAATGCAGTTCAGTCACCATATGGACTGGATGTTTTAGCTCAATAGAAGCACCAGATATTCAATTTGTATCTGCAAATGTCTTTTTGCAATTAATGCAAACAGAAATAGTGTCAATTCAATAAACATAGTGCAAAAAGTTTATGGAAAATGCAACTAAGAAAAGTAACAGTAATGTATTGCAACAAATTAGAAGCATAAAATAAGCATTCAAATCCACCTCTGAAAAGGGTAGGTATTACAAAAATATCGTATCCAGGGTATACTTGAATGCTGATATTGCAGCTGGTATTTATTTATTTATTTTTTGTTTCTATTTGTTTTGCAGTGGTTGCACAGAGCTATTGCAGTGCTTATATTTTGTGCTTTTGGGAGGTGCTTCCCCCCCCCCCCCCGTTTCTGAAAAAAGTTGCAGTGTGAATTTCAATGCTAAATATTCTGTTTCCTAAGTTCTTTCCCAGGGTTTTTCACTTTTTAAGGAAATGTTTGACATTTAGAAAGCTATTTTAGATGACTTCTGTGTAGTTTTATTTCAGAAGTGAATTTTTGAAAAAAAGATGGTTGTAGTTGCTAACAATCTGACCCTGAAGATTTTATGACTCTCAATGCTCCAGGTTAAATTGTATCTGGAGATCTGGCTACAGTGCATTTGTCCATCCTGAGACACAGGTAAAGCATCTTTCCAGTTTGTTATATAGAAAGGACCTTAACCATGTTTACAAACCATGCTAAAGTCTCCATTCAGGAATGTGGGAAGTTCATATCTGTGCAATAAGGCTTGAATTCTGCAGACAGTGTACACATGCTTAATTTTAAGTACAGAAGTAATCCCACTGAAGCCAAACTTCAGTTAAGCGTGTATCTAGGTGTTGGTAGCACTAAGGTAAATTGGAACAATCACGTTATTGCATCCCCTGCCACAGTTGTGCGTGTAGTATAGACAAGCCCACAGTCATGTTAATGGGTCTACTCACATGAGTAAGCGTTACTCATATGATATGGGCACCTCTATACTAAAAGCCCTACCAGTGTAAGTTGGCATAGTGAGGAGTGTCTGTTTCCAGATGGTTTTTCGATTGTACCCATAGCCCACGCACGGTTTCGTAACAATGATCCAGGGATACATTGGCAGGGGGAAGCAGGAGAGAGGAAAACACTTGTATCTTCTGAGTGCTGATGAGGCAAACTTGCTTCACCCACAAATCAAGCTTCACCCACTGGAGATGCCAAAAAACCCAGAGAAGAGCAGAGAGGGCCATACATGTCCTGTAAAAAGCAGAATTCAGATAGCACAGCCTCCTGGGCATTGAAGCGTCACTAAAAGGGAACTAAGTCAAAGAGCAGAGCTCTTTCATATATCTAAATCCCATAGAAAGGGAACCAAGTCCACAGAGCTCAGCAGATCACACATAGTCATATTTAGGACATCTGCACAGTGTATGGTGCCTGGCATCTCAAGAGGGCAGAGCTTGAGAAATCTGAAATTAAAGACATTAGGAACTCCTCAGAAACCTGCATGTTCCATTCTGATTTATATATTGATGTTTCCCATACTATTTCTTCAACTGGGATTACAAGGGGAGAATTTTTTTACATGATTTCCCTCACCACAAAGCAGTTTAAAAGGGACGATCCTTTCCTCTTAGGCATTTTAGGCACAATCCATGTGGGTATGTGAACTTGCTCTCTGTGCTGGCTGGAAAACAAGGGGAGAGTTCTCAGAGCTGTAGATTTCCTGTGTTTCCAGGTAAACATACTTAATTGTAATGGGTGAGAATGAGGATGTGGTAGCTACTGGGAACAGCTTTACTTTCCTTTATGGATAGACTACACAGCACTGCAATGTTCAGCGCTGCAACGCCCCCCTGAGTGCAGCAAGTTTCAGCGCTGTAAAGTACCAGTGTAGGTAATGCACCGGCACTGGGAGCTGCGCTCCTCATGGAGGTGGTTTCTTTAGAGTGCAGGGAGAGCTCTCTCCCAGCGCTCTGCTGCAACTACACAAGCTACGGTAAAGCCCTGCCATGGCAGCACTTTAACGTCTCCAGTGTAGACTAGCCCTAACTTTCGTTCCAGAATGCTCTACTTTTGTTTTCTCTTCTGAGAAGCTACATGGACTTGGACAGAGAATAGGTCTTCATTATTAAATGATTTCTTTTCATGTGTCATTACATGTGCAGGTCCGTGAATGTATGTAGGAAATGGAATGTTTTCCTGAAAATTCCATGTAATTACCAGAATGTTAAGAAAGCAATTAAAGATGCTCCATTCCCAGCTCAGACATATATAGCATAATAGAGTCTAATTGCATACTTAAGTACTTGAATCAGTTTGGTAGTACACAGGAATAAGGGTTCACTTGCAAATATGGGAGCTATTTGACCATTGCATATACAAACCCATGTAAGCACACAGGAAAGTGAATCTGAAAATTCCATCCGATAGCAGAGGTCAGGCAATTCAAATATATTATAGTATAAACTATGTAATTAAACTTCAGAGTCTTGGATTTTATAGTAAATATGTGTATCAAAAAGTATATCTTCGTAGTTGTTGCATTGGTGTTACCATGGCGTTTGTGTACCAGGATTCTTTAAAAAAAATTAGTGGTAATTACATGTAACAAATAAGAACTGTACTGTAAATACAGTGTAACCACACTGTAGTTAATATATATGCATGATGAAGTGTATCTCACATCTCTACTTTTGCCATTAGCACTTCTTTTTTAGCAATTCTAAACATTATGGGCCCAGTTATTATCATTATTTGTGTTATGGTAGCATGAAGAGGCTGCAGCCAAGACTGGGGCACTATTGTACTAGGTGGTATACAAACACATAGTAAGAGACAGTCTTTTCCTCCAGATTCTGCCACCTTCAGGTTGAATAGCACCTTACTTAGGGCTTGTCTACACTGGCAATTAACAGCGCTGCAACTTCCTCACTCGGGTGTGAAAAAACACCCCCCTGAGTGAAGCAAGTTTCAGCGCTGTAAAGCACCAGTGTAGACAGTGCACCAGCGCTGGGAGCTGCGCCCCTCGTGGAGGTGGGTTTTTTTAGAGCGCTGGGAGAGCTCTCTCCTAGTGCTGCGCCGCGACCACACAAGGCATGTTAAAGTGCTGCCAAGGCAGAGCTTTAGGATTGCCAGTGTAGACTAGCCCTTAGTTAGTCTGATTCTTACAGAGTAAGATACTATTTAAGGCCTTGTCTACACTACGGGGATAAGTCGACCTAAATTACGCTACTCCAGCTACGTGAATAACATAGCTGGAGTCGACATAACTTAGGTAGATTTACTTCAGTGTCTACACCACGCTTCTTTGATGGGAGATGCTGTCCCATTGACTTACCTTACTCTTCTAATTCCGGTGGAGTACTGGAATCGCCTGGAGAGCGCTCTGCGGTCAATTTAGTGGGTCTTCACTAGACCTGCTAAATCGACCTCCGCTGCGTCAATCGCAGCAGCCTCGATCCCCGGTAAGTGTAGCGTGGAGGTAAGTGAGAGTGAAGGTGGCAGAATGGGCTTTATATATGTCATTGTTCTCAATGTCAACCATAGTCTGGTATCATTAATGTTACAGCACTCTTACGGTATCACTCACATTATACATCTGTAATTTATGTAAGCTTCCAAAATAATAATTACATTTAAATTCCTACATGTAAGAGGGGAATAATCTGTGCACAGGACCTAAAAACCATGAACTCCTGACTTCTAATCCTGCAGTGGCCTTGGATAAATTACTCAATCTCTTTTGTTCAATTTCCCCATCAGTAAAATGGGCATCAGAAAAGCTACCTGGCAGAGGTGTTTTGAGAATTCATTAGTTTGTGAAGCACTTTTCAGTTGTAATCTTCTGTATTCTTGCAAAAGATTGTGTTATACTTTCTAAGATTTTTGGTTAAGAAAAATAACCTGCCTTTCACATATAGTGCCATGTACACATAAGTACTGTTGTGCTATGTGGTACTATGTTTATTACTGTATTTATAGTTGATGGGTGTATAATTTAGAGCTTGTCAATTCATAGAAGTTGTAAATAGATTTCGGGGGGGGGGGGGGGGAAGAGTTTGAATTTGTTTCCCTGAAAAATGAAGTTAGCTTAAAAACTATTATTGGGCAAGAGATAAAAATGCTGAAATCTTGTACATGAAGTATAATACTGGAAATAGCAACTTTCCCCCCCCTCCTGTTTGTTTTTCCAGTATGGGGTACTGTATCCTTTTTGTCCATGGTTTGAAAAAGCTCTGTGCCTGGTTAAATAGATGGGGAACTACTGCCCTGACCCTCTCTGCTTTGCTGCTGCTGCTGCTGTTCTCTTGGAAAACTGTGAAACAGAATGAAATCTGGTTGTCAAGAGAATCCCTCTTCAGGTATGATCAGCCACAGGAAAACATTTGCTATCTCTCTATCTTTAAATTTATTTGTAAAGAATCAAGAAATACATGGCATGTTATTGTTGCATGGAACAAATCATTTTTATTAAGTAAAAGGAATAATTCTACTATTATGTTGTTGCTTGCCATTTTTATATAGTGCCAAAAAGTGCATGTTTTTAATAGAGAGAAGGAAGACAAGGTTCCTGCCCTGAGGATCTAGTAGTTCAGATTATACATTTTAAATATAATATGTGCTCTAAAAGAGAGGGGTGGGTAGAGGAATTTTACATAAAACTAACATAAAGAGCAATATTTTAAAATGAAATTATTACTAACAAAAAAAGTCAAAGCAGTTTTTGTGGGCAGATTTGAACATTCCCCTGCAGCACCATGACCCAAACTGGATTATGCTAAAGCAGGGGGTCTCAACCAGGTCTGGGAGGTGTGTGTCCTGAAACTTCTTTTAGTTATGAGGTTGCAGTCCGGAAGATATTGACAACCACTGTGCTATGGTGTGAGAACCAGAAGGTGAAACTGCCTGGAAATGAGTGAAATGCAAAATGTAAACAAAAGGAATACTGAGAAGGAAATGTGATCTTTAACATTCTTTCTGGTTAAGTAGGCTACATTTTTATTAGTAACACAGAGAAAGAAATATGTCCTTGTGGGATTGTTTTTGTTTTTGTTTCTCAAATAAAGTAAATGGAACACTGCTGAGGAGACTGAAAGGTTTTATAAAGGATAAAAGGAAGAAAATGACTTACCGGTAATTATTTTCTCACCTAATATCTAAAACCATTGTGCAAACACTGATATCAACACTGTATCTGCATATGAACAAACTTTGATTTTGCAAGTACGACTATTTTTTTAGACATTTTAGTATAAAAAGAAAAACCCAGCAAAATCTTTGACTCAGTGATAATTATTGTTGTGCCTTTATTTAAAAAATACTATCATATTCTGTAGGTATGGTTCAAAACATGGTAGTAACACCACTGGAAAGATGTAGAATGTATTTTAGAAAAATTTTTATAATGGTAGAAAGTAGGGCTGTCAGTTTAATTGCAGTTAACTGACGCAATTAACGCAAAAAAATTCATCAAGATAAAAAAATGTATTGCAGTTAATCGCAGTTTTAATTGCACTGTTAAACAATAGAATACCATTTGAAATTTATTCAATATTTATGGATCTTTCTCTACATTTTCAAATATATTGATTTCAATTACAACACAGTATACAAAGTAGACAGCACTCACTTTATATTTGTATTCAGTTTTGTTGGCAAACTTATTAAATTTACTTCCTGATGCTTTTTCAGCAATTGTCTAGTTGTGAGGGCATCATGGTAATGCAGGTGATTTATACATCAATTGTTTAACTTGATTTTCAGAGCTATTCACCAGAGCAAAGTTTCATTTTCTCATTATTAATGGGGATGACATTACTGCTAAACCTTTTTATATATGCCATGCTATAGAAGCAGATGGAGCTTTGTTAGAGAGATATTTTTGAAAGATATGGAATAGGAGCTGCTTCAATATAACACAATTCATTGCCTATCTCCTAAAACACGTTTACCTCTTAAACAATGGAAACCATGGTGATGAGATCCTGGGCTCAGATGCCAACTCATTTTAAGCACTGGATTTCAGTCCAAACCTTCCAGGGTTAATGCCAACAATTCAAAAGAAAGCCCTGGCCTTGCAGTTTGGCAGACTCTCTTCCTTTTGAAGGGGAGGAGACTGTAATTACTTGTTTGGTGGTCATAAAATCACCTTGTAGCAACTGCACTTGAGATGGATTCAAGAGATATTGTTGACTGGATAGACAGTTTTTCCCCGCTCTTTCTGAGAAACAGAGAACTCCTGGACTATTTCATGTGCAGAATTAATAAGCTGAATTCGTTCCTAGTTTAACTGGATTGAATTCATTGGGGTTACATTAGCACTGAGGCATCTATTCCTGCCTGACAGTCTTCCAATTTGTAATATTTGCTCATAGAACCCATGCAACCATGTTGTCAGTGTGGTTTCAGCAGCCCAATGACTTGTGGTTTATATACTTGCTCTTCAAAACTGCACTGTTCTAATCTGCTGAGTAGATGGTGGTGCACATGCTCCTGGCATCTGCACCCCTTTGAATGGAGATGCAAGCACGAGTTTTGGCTTTTCTTTCATTGTGATCATGAGTGTGTCCATATGTGCAGAGATGGCTGGGCCGGGAGAGACACTGCCAACCTTGATTTGGTTGCCAAAGCAGATCTACCATTGGCAGCATTTGGAAGAGGCAAAGAAAACCACAAGAACTTAAGATAATGGGGACCTGGCCCCCTTCCACTTTATTCTCAAAGAAAATGCTGTTTTAGTAGTCTGAGAAGGTGGAAGATCAAGTCTCCTGCCTCCTAAATTCTTGTGATTTATGTTGCCTCTTTCCTTTGCTCTTAGTGGCCTAGGGAGCAGGCTCAGTACCTCTTCCTCCCTGTTGAATCTGCAGGCCAGCATAAATCATAGAATCATAGAATATCAGGGTTGGAAGGGACCTAGCAAGTAGACCTAAGCGAGCCCTAAAGCAAGTAGGTTTGAGACAACAAAGGCTCCCTCCCTGCTGCTTGCCAGAACTCCTCTGTCATCTCACTTCATGCTGTGGGTGGCCATCTTATGGATGTGGGGGCTACTCTGGGGCTGGAGATATTTGATAGCTGCTCCCTGGTCCTAGGGTGCTGGAGAGAGATCTTTGGGCTGAGGCTTGTTGAGAAGAGCTATGCGGTAGCATTAATAGGGAATGGAACTCTGGGATAAGAGTTCAGATTGGGCTTTTAGGGAACAGGAGCTGGGAGGGAAGTGAGAAAGGTGCGTTGACAGGGAAATTCTGTCCTAGGAGAAAGTGGGGGAGAGGACTTTTGACTAGATTGGGTGAAGGGGAGACTGTCAATGAAGACAGGGGAGAAAGGAAACAAAGAGAATGAATGCAGGGAGAACAGCAGTAAGCCAAGAGGGAGAAGGCACGGGGAGAAAGTGGGGAACAACAGGGGCAAATAAGAGGAAAAATAAAAGGGGAGCAAGGAGAGGAGGAGACTAGCACAATACAAACTTACATGTGGGAAAGAGACAAACATCAACTGATTTGGTAGATGGTGTTTGTCTCTGTGCATAGGCACACTTGCACGTTGTGGGGAGAGTCTTTCATATAATTCCTGTTTTCTCCATTCTCCTTTCTGTCTCCCATTTCAGCTTTTCATTAATTGGTGCTTTTTGTCATCTCATTTTGTGTGTCACATCTATTTTTAATTCCTCTCTGTCTTATCCTTGAATGGACTGTGGTTCTTTGGTTTTGGCCATTGAGGGAGACTGCCTCTATTATATACAGATTTCTCTAACCTGGTCAAGATGCACTTGAATGTACAACATTGTAATGGGCTGGTCTCCTTCAATGCACCCCTCATAGCGTAGGGTCACGCTACAGGCAGCCTGCTTCACTTTCCCTTCTTGGACTGTTTAAGCAACTTTTCTCCATTCCCATCCTTTCTCAGGTTCTGCTTTGTTAAAATAACAAACATCCAAAAGTCCTTACAAACAAAGGTTTTTCTTCCTCCACACCTTCCTGCCTGGGGGCCCTTCCTGCTTTGGCAGTCCACAGCTGGGCCCTACCTGGCTGGAGTCTCAGTCCTAACTCCCAGGACTCTCTGCTAGAGCCTGCTCACTCCTAACAGTCTCTAAGACATGAGCATTCCCACTTTTCACTGTAGACTCTTTCTAGGGCAATCACCATGATCCCTTCCAGGTGTGGCTCATTCTGTAATTAGGGTTGCCTAGCCCCAATCCTCCAGGGGTGTAAGCCAGCCTGTTACAAACATGGTACCAATTAATCACATTACACTCATTTTTATCATATACTCAGGGTGAAATTCACCCGGGTGCATGTAGCAATGCAAGGCACAGGCACTGTTTGTGCTGGCCGTCTGTACACACAGATTAATTTTACCCACTGAGAGCATTCCTTCAATCACAAATGTTCTAATGTTAGGAAACTGAGACAATATGCTATCTGAAGGTGTGGTGGCCAAAAACAAAAATGCACTGTCACCACTGACATTAATTAACCTGGTGGTTTGCAACCTTCCACACAAAAAAACAAGGATTGATGGATACCCCCATAAGGGTCATCAGAGCTCAGTGGGCCAAGAGGGGTCTAGACTCTGCTCCTCTTTGCTGTACTACCCTTCAATCAAGCTACCTAGTACTCTGTTGAGCTTTAGAACAGCAGTTCTCAACTCGGGGTCTACGAGCCCTTTCAAGGGGGCTGCGGGGCCCCGCGGTTGAAAACCAGAGCCTGAGCCCTAGCACCCCTCAGGAGGCTGAAGCCAGGAGGCGTGGGGCTGACGCCCTGATTTCTGGCACCCCCCACGGGGCTGAAGCTGGGAGGCACAGTGCTGAATCCCGGAGCCCCACGCTCTGGTGGTCCCTGTGGGGCAGAAGCCCTGAGCCCATGGGCAGAGTTGGAGACATGGAAGGCATTGCCCCCCCTAAACTGCAGCACAAGAGCATGGCAGTTTGGGGGCAGCTCCACACCTCATCCCCCCAGCCAGGTCAGAGGTGGGAAGCTGGAGCTGGGCAGCATGGAACAGCTGGTCATCTGGCTGGTGCCATGGAGCGGGCAGCGACAGCGTTTCCTTGTCTCCTGCTGGTGCCCTGGGTTGAAGCTGCTCCCTAGCTCCAGCCCCTTTTGCTCATGCAGCAAGTAAGAGCTGCCTGGGTGGGGAGACCCCTCTGGGAACAGGGGGAGCCCTCCTGGCACACAGCCCCTAGCTACCCCCCTCCTGGCACCCTGAGCTACACCCATGCCTGAAGACAGCCCCTAGCTACCCCATCTGCACTGTGAGCTACTCCCCTTCCCGCACACAGACCCAGCAATCCCCTCTCTGCACTTTGAGCTACTCCCCTGCCTGCACACAGCCCCTAGCTATCCCCTCCCTGTAGCCTAAGCTGTTTTCAAACTTTTTGAGCCAACCCCCCACCTTTGAGTTATAATTTTTGGTTGCGTGCCCCCACTCCAAAACCCAGACAGGCTGGGCGCCCTGCTGAGGTGAGTCATGGGGTGGAGGTGGCACTCACTCCCTGGACCCCACCATCTGGAGTTGGCCAAGCCCCGCTGGCCCCTGGCCCCCCACAAATGGAAGTCAAACTATGCCTATACCCAAGGCCTCTGACCCAAGTCTCTCTCTCCCCTCCTTCCCCCCGGACCCTGGAGTTTTTATAGCATGTCAAGGGGGGGTCTCAGAGAGAAAAAGGTTGAGAACCCCTGCTCTAGAAAGTGTTTCCACATCATCCCCAACTTGGGAGAGTGCTTTAAATTGCATGTCTGCTCTGAAAAGCAACTATGTAAAAATGGTTTCAGAGTAGCAGCCGTGTTAGTCTGTATCCACAAAAAGAAAAGGAGTACTTGTGGCACCTTAGAGACTAACCAATTTATTTGAGCATGAGCTTTCATGAGCTACAGCTCACTTCATCGGATGCATGCAGACTAACAAATTTATTTGAGCATGAGCTTTCGTGAGCTACAGCTCACTTCATTGGATGTCCGATGAAGTGAGCTGTAGCTCACAAAAGCTTATGCTCAAATAAATTGGTTAGTCTCTAAGGTGCCACAAGTCCTCCTTTTCTTTATGTAAAAATGGTACTTTTTGTTTACGAGCAAATCTGTTTCCTGAATCACTGATTTAAATCTTTAAATCACTTTAGTCAGGTAAAAAAGAAGAAGAGGACAAAGCAATTCCTACTTTTTACTCCTGTTAATTCTGCAAAGAGTGAGTTGGCTTCTATTCCATTTGTGCATCATCAGCTGAATGTTTTCAGTTCCAAGCATTTTACGCTTGTGAAAATCAACGGGCTAGGGCTGCACATGTGTCACTGGGGGAATAATTGGCCTGGAGATCTTTTATTAGTGGCGATGATTCACAAAGCAGAAAGAACTCAGCGCAACTTGCCTCCCAGAGCCCAGGTTGGGTGTCCAGGACTGACGATAGAAAATCTTTTTGCTTATAAACTGAGCACAATTCATGTGGGCATCACTGAAAAGCATTAAAATGGTGCCCCAGAGAGACTGACTTGTAAGAGTAGAACCTGTGCTTTAGGACAGAATGGGGGCTACTGAGAGAAGGTTGTTTCCAAGCATTGGCCAAGTAGGATTTGGCTAACGATGGGATGTTTGAAGTTGGGAGTGCTACTGGTAGTTAACAGGGTGTTGTATCCCACTAGGATGACTTGTAGCTTTATCTCCGAGAGGAAATATGTGCAAAATGGCTTGTATACATTTATCTTTCATTTATGACAGTTAAAGGTAGCAGGATAGTCAGCAGGGAAGAAAAGCCTCCTGAGAAGTGACTTTCATGCTCAGCGGATCTGTTTCTTTCTGGAGTTGGCTTGGTTACAATAAATTCTGAGACGGGAAAAAATTGGAAATGCATATTGGAAAAATGTGTGTGCAGTGGTGGGAGGGGGGCTTGGTGGGAACAGAAATGGAAAAACATTGTGTGCTGCTTTGTTGTTTATACTCCACCCTTTCCCATTTGGCTTTGGTTAGGAACATGATTGTTTCCTCTTTCAGTTAGAGAACAGTGTCCTGTTCTAATCAAGAACCACATTTCAGAAGTGTTATTTATTTACCTAGGCATTCATCCTACATGTACCTGGTGTAGTGTCTGTTCTTGAGGCATTCAGTGAAACTGCTTATACTGTGTCATAAGCATTTGCAGGATCAGCCCATCAGCTTGGATATGAGAAGAATAAATAGGTCAACAAGAATTATTGGCTGAGCACAGAGGAATAAAGAACAAAAAAAGAGCACTAATACAAATATTATCCTTCCTTCCTATCCAACACGCAGACATATGGTAGAGAGAGAATGTTTATCTAGGGAGGTCTTAATAAATGGAACCATAGTGATTGATTAATTATACTTAAAGGGAAACTGTCAAAAGAAAAACACTATTTAAAAAATGCCTGTCTTACTAATAAAACTGTGGTTCATTAGAACTGAAATACGTAATGTACTTCTCACCACATATTCATTTTGCTGTGTTCGGGCTGGGACTATAATGAGCTCAATCACTCATCAGAGTTAGGCCACTGAATAGCTCTGAGATGGTAACAGTTTTGAGCCACTACCTATGTTTTCACATAAAACGTAGTCATTGATGTAATGATACAATTTCCATATAAGAATTAATACTCCAGTAATGCCCAGAATATTGTGAGTACTTAATAGCTCCCAAGCCAATGGAAATTAATGCAGCCATAGCATTCACACGTTACTTGCTGCTGGTGTATAATATCTTTGTAAAAACAACTATAGAGAATCATTCTCTTAAGAATAGCATCAATTAACTGATTTAGTTCAACAATTAGTCACAGAATGGCTTGTGCCTTAGTGCTTCCTGATAAATAATTTAGAAACACCTTATGGTTAGGAAACCAAACAAGTAGTGATTTTTAACTCTTATAGGCAAAGCACAGATCTGTTGTGCTGAACACTAAGTTACGGTGGATAAACCTGTGGAAGGGTTCTCCTTTCTACCATGCATGCGCATTCGTCTGCCTTTCCTTCTCTCATCTCCACACACACTGATGCCATACTGCCCCATCCTCATTCCCACCGAAGTCCAATATGCTTTCTTCCCCTTTTTATCCAGGCCTCCTATGAGACATCTACAACTGCTCCTCTCCTGGTCCCATCCTGGCCTAATCCCATGACCTTTTACAGTGGTTTGGGTCTCAGAAGTAGCTCTTTAGTCTCTCAAGACTTGGCTTCTTCTTTGGAAACTAATACGTCAGTGCACTCTCAGATTGGAAAGGAGGAACAAGCCAAAGCCTGGCAGAAAGGCTGGAAATGTGCTGATCTCTGCAATTGCTTACTATAGTTAGGAGGATCTGATCTGGTGGATGGGAAGAAGGAAGCAGCAGTAAAACAAGTGTACCTTAACCAAATTGTGTGAAAAGGAATAGGGCTGAGGTTTGAGCCAGTTCTTATTCTTTATGACATGAACCAATTCACCCATCTCTATTCCTAATAACCCTTAGAGATCCTCTGGATGTCTGGAAGCTATATTTCTCTGCTTTATGTAACAACAAGAGAGTGCCTAAGTTTCTAGCTCTTTGTAGGAGAAATGATTTATGATGCGTCTTCTGTTATTTCTTTTAGTGTCCAGCATCATCACAGCATTTCTCTTAGGGCATGTCTCCACTTACCTGGGGATTGACGCACAGCGTTTGATCCACAAGGGATCAATTTAGCGGGTCTAGTAAAGACGTGCTAAATCGACCGCCAATCGCTCATCCGTTGACTCCGGTACTCCAACAGAACAAGAAGCATAAAGTAAGTCAACAGGAGAGTTTCTCCTGTTGACCCAGTGCGGTGTAGACACTGCAATAACTCGACCTAAGATACGTCGACTCCAGCTACATTATTCACGTAGCTAGAGTTGCGTAACTTAGGTTGCCTTATCCCGTAGTGTAGACCTAGCCTTAGAGTCGCACGGTTTTGCAGTCCTATGTAAATCTAGTCATCAAACAGCTGCTGAGTCATGCATTTTATTGATTTGGCAATGGGTGGGCATTTGTGTGTGTTTTTCTTCCTGTGTTCTAAGTGATAATGCCAATAGTTCAGCTCCTTCTCAGCCCCAGGTACACTCCGCTCAGTTTTTCTGCTGTTTATAAATACCTGTTCAAACCACTGTGCAGTGTGCATCATGTGTCCCCCTCTAGGGGCTGATTCAGACAGACTAGCTACCTACTGCCATGTCCAGCTAGTGGACTTAGGTCAAGATTTTTAAAAGTGACTAGTGATTTTGGTGCCTCGGTCTTTGGGTGCCCAACTTGAGAAGCCTTAAAAGGGCCTGATTTTCAAAAGTTGCTAAGTGCCTGCCCTCTACAAATCAGGCCCCTTCAGATGCTATAAATTGGACATCCAAAAATTGATGCACCTAAAATCACTAGTCATTTTTGAAAATGTAAGCATTAGTCCTTCAGCTCCAGCGGCAGAGGTCTTTGGTGCTAGAAACCCCATGCTTAATCCCTGGTGCTAGCCTGTGATGAGGATGTTGCATCTATACATGGATGTGTATACAAAACTGGATCTGTTTTGTATAGGCTGAAGCTCTGAATCTGTGGGCACCTGTCTTAACAGTTAACCTCTTTCCATTTTTTGTTCCCATTTGTAGGTCAGGTGTGCAGACTCTGCCCCATAATGCCAAGGTACACTACAACTATGCCAATTTTCTGAAAGACCAGGGTCGTAACAGCGAAGCCATCTATCACTACAAAACCGCCCTCAAGTAAGTTCCTTGAAACCACTATTAAGACTGTTTACTTAAACTTCCTCTTGTGGCACATGAAGTGTTGTGTTTTCTCTTTTCCTAACAATAGACACCTCCCTGGTAGCAGTTATGGCTTAACTTGAAAGCTCTTTGGCTTTCTCCCACTGTGTGTGTGCGCCTGTGAGAGAGAGTTAACTATGTGGCATTTCAGAGTTTCCATAGCTACACATTGAGTAGTGAGGTGTCATTTACCCGGCTGAATGTACACTGCTAAATGGGAGGGAGTTGCCATAGCTGTATTTGCAGGTGCTCAGGCCATTTATATTAATAAATTATTAATGGTGCATGTATGAAAAATACCAAGGCTGTAACCAGCAAGGTAGAGTAATGATAATACTTAACACTTATACAAAGCTTTACATCTTCAAAGCACCATCTAAACACTGACTATTAATTTATCCTCAGAACATCCCAGCTTGGTAGGTGGGTAAATAGTATTATCCCCATTTTACAGATGGAGAAACTAAAACAGCAAGATGAGTTGACTTGGCCAAAGCCACATAGTAAGTTTGTACCAGAGCCAGGATTATAACTCATGGCCTCATGATACCCAATCCCACACTTACTCCTACAGACCACGCTGCCCCTCAGTATGGGTGCAGCAGTGCAGCACCACTGTAGTTAAGGTTGCATCCTGAGTTCTGTTTAAAGATTGATCTTTCTAAACTCTAAAATTGGCAGGCTTGATCAGATTCCTTTGAAATTTGGTGTGCCTCAGCATCATGGCCGGGTCATGGGTGTCCAGATCTGGTAGTCAGAACCAGACTCTGCAGTCATGAGACAGGAGTCAGGATATCAGGAGGTCAGAAGTAGGAGACAAACTGGAGACCACGGCAAGTCAGATGCCTGGGGTGAAGCCGGAGCAGGTAGCAGGACTTGGGGAGGGCGCAGAAGGCACACAGAGTAGAGTGGAGCCCAGCTGTTCAGACAGCTTCCTGTTCCTGCTGTCGGCTTAATTAAGGCCAGCTGGCCAATTGGGATTTCACCAATCGGACCTCAGGGGGCGGAGCCTCACACTGGGGCTGGGCTTTGTGGGTCCCAGATAAGCTATTGTCAGCAGGTTGCCAGGTGGCTGCTCCCATAAACCCTATGGGCCTGGGTTTGAGACCTGTGGGTCAAGACACTCAGGAGGGTGAAGGATAGGGTTATTGACCCAAATGTGGGGTCATGGGGTTGTGGAAATATGCCTCCCCTTCCCCAAATAGCCAATTTTCAAAAAGTTTCTCAGGTGTGTGTGGTTTTTTTGTGCTCAGAACTAGAGATCAGGCTATTGATAAGATGATGGCCAGAATAGTCTCAATCTGTCAAGTTTTACCAGAGATAGTGCATGGTGCCCGCTAAATCTTTTGGGGACCCAAACTAAGAACGGTATTTAAGAAAAGGTATGTTTGTACAGTGCATGTGCGCTAATCCAGAAAAATGGATAGAGGGCTTCCATTCCCACCAGTTTTTACATGCTTGTCAAGCTTGACTATTGTTAGTGCTCTAAAATCTGAATGGTTACTTGGATTGCTTGGAAATTTGTTGTGCCCCTCGGAGGCCTGGGGCAGTGTTCATGATCCAAATTTGGGGTCAGTTCATCAATGGGTTCCTGCATTTCAGAACTCCCAAAAATAATTTCCTTCTGTTGCCTTGTGCAGCCTGGCCCCACAGCTCAATGAATGGGCACCCTTGTAGCATATAGCCTCCTTCTGAGTTGTGGAAATGGGGAAGGGGGAGCCTCTCCTAGAGGAGCAAACACAAGAAAAAGAACAACAATAAAAGACCGAGAGAAAAACAGAAAGCAAAAGCCAAAGATACAAAAAAAAAAAAAAAAATCACAGCAGAGAGGAAAGAGACAAAGACAGAAAAAGAGAAAAGATAGGCAGAAAAAAGAGACAGAAGAAAGGCATGTAGGACGTAGCTTGGTGCAAGGGAACATGTGCATATAAGGGGTATCATCCCTTGCAAACTAGGGGTTCTGACAGAAAAATGGCTGGGAACCTTTTCTTATTGATCTGCAGCTTGCTTAGTCCCTAAATGTGGAGGAAGGACAGAAATTACCTCTGTCCAATTAGACTGTGTCTGTGCTAATGCCCTCTGGCAAACTAAGGAATAATATTGATGGCTCTGAAACGGAGCCCCACCCAGTCATGATTAGCTGGAAGGATGGTATTTGCTGCCACCCACCATGTCTGGAAAATGGATGTGAGAGGCATTGGACAAAATTTTGGACAGGGATACTGAGGACATCACAGTTTTTTTTTTTTAAAGAAGTATTAGCAAATGCTACCCATCTGTAAAAGTGAACTTACTAGTACCCATGGCTGCTTAGCCACTCCCTCCTCCCCATCTTGACGCTGCCACTAGTGCAGGCATCTGTTTGTGTGTTCCTCAGAGTTTATAGTATTTGCTGACAACAGATTTTGCTCAGCTGTCTCTCTAGCTCAGCAGCACCCAAAAATCATAATTATGGTGCTGTCTTCTGCTCCGCAGTACTTCAATTATACAAGAGGCTATTCTAGAATTGATTGCAGGCCATGTTTTTTCAACTTTATTAGATATGTAGCTTGTCATTATGATGATATCTGCAGTGCTTGTGTCATGTAAAAGACTGGATTTTCAAAGGAGCTGGGTAGCTTCAGCTCCCTTTGTCTTCAGTGGGAGCTGGGTTGCTTGGCACCTTAGAAAATCAAGCTGCAGGTGTGCACCCTGCGGAGTTAACGTTCTAATCCTGTTAATAAGATACATAGGAAAACAAATGTTGTCTAGTGCTTGGAGCTTAAACTAAGAGTTGTCTCTCATAGGTTCTGCTTCTCACTTTGCCATTGACTAGAGGTGTTACCTTGATCAAATCATTTAATCTCTCTGTGTCTCAGTTTTCCACATCTGTAGAATGGGGATATTAATATTTATCTATGTAGGGCTACTCCTACTCCACTTCTCTGTCCATCTTCTCTCTTCTCCTGTCTCTTTTTCTCTTTTTTTTTTTTCCATGTTGTCTTTTCTGCCCCTGCGCCCGCTCCCTGACTGCGTGTCACAGAATGTTGGGGCCTATATACTAAAATACAAAGCAGTGTAGGTACAAAATTGTAAATAGACTTCCACCAAGAATGCTGTACTATAAATTACGCACAATCGCTCCCAGTTTTGAAAAGTCCTGAGTCAGTAGGTAGGTCTTGCATCAGACATTGAAATTCAGCAAATTCCAGCTCTGTTGAAGCAATGGAAAAGGTTGGTAAATAACATGGTGATGGGTGCAGTATAGGATCCTAGATACATGCCAGAGATACAAGCAAATTCCAGCGCCAGGCTTCCTGTCGTGAGTATAACCTGCTCCCCAATGTTCCAGTGTAAAGAATGTGAGCAACAGCACCCAAGCTGATCCTAGCTGTTGCACCAGCTCTTTCTCACAATGTGACTGGAATACTAATGATACTGGGTCGAATTCTCTGTTGGTGTAAGTTATTGGAGTCCCATGGAAGCCAATGAATTTGTTACAATTTACATCAGCAGAGAATTTGGACCATTAAAGTTATGTTTGGCAGTCTAGTGGTAATCCACTGTCCTGCCACATATGGATCTAAATTTATCTACTGAGCGTGGTCCCTGTGGGACCACTGTACTCTTCCCTGGGGAAGGAGAGAGTAATTTACACCACTTTAAAATAATCTCCCTTAAGAGCAGCATTGAGGGGTTCAGAAAGGAGCCTCACTGAACCACCCTCCACTAGAAGGAAAGATTGCTATACCACAGAGTGTGTGAAAGTAGGGTGAAGGAGGTTTAAGGGGGAGAATTAGAGAGGCTATCATAGGACTTCAGTGACACTCCCAAAATGACAGAGGAAACTAGTGGTAGCACAGAAGGCTACCATATAAAGACTGAGAGATCAGCAATCATGGTCCCTTCCTCCTGTGTCAGTGATGGTGGGGAGCACTGCAAAGGTCAGGTATGCAGTTGCTTGGAGTTGGGAAAAGGAGAGCCTTGCATCACCGTACAGCAGCTCCTTTGCGTAAGGAGCAGTGTTGGTGGCCCCTTGATCATTTTAGCTTGCTTTCAGAGTTTTATGGCAAATTGCAATTGATATAGTTTTTGTTGCATTTTTAATGTATATGAGATTAAGTATAAAAATTTGCTAAACAAAAATTATCATGATGTCACAGTGTACTTGGATGTCTTAACTACTCACAAAATTACTATTAATAATAATAAAACTTGGCACTTACAACACCTTTCAGCCAATGTTTAATTACCATGCAACTATTTAGTGAAGTATCGTAACACCCATGTGAGGTAAGTAATATTATAACTGTTATACAGATGAGTAGATTGAAGGGCACCTGGGTCACACAGTAAATCAATGGCAGTCAGGACTAGGTCTCAGGAATCCTAACTCTCAGTGTTTTAACCATTTGTTTACATTCCTATTATTCCCAGATCCTCAGCTGGCATAAATTGTTGTTGCTCCATTGATTTCAATGTAACTAATCAATGACCCAGAAGAATGTATTTTCTGATGATAAACCTGCAGGACAATATATTTCTAAAGGACAGAAGTCCCATTGACCACCTCTTAAGATGAATGTTTGTTTAAAATGGCGGCAGATCACTCTTTAGAAAATTCATTAAGCACTCAATGTGGAGGACCCAATCATGAAATGTTCTGGTTTATCTTGGCTTTGTGAATTAGTGTGTATTTATAAAAAGAAAAGGAGTACTTGTGGCACCTTAGAGACTAACCAATTTATTTGAGCATAAGCTTTCGTGAGCTACAGCTCACTTCATCGGATGCATACTCTGCAGTTTCCACAGTATGCATCCAATGAAGTGAGCTGTAGCTCACGAAAGCTTATGCTCAAATAAATTGGTTAGTCGCTAAGGTGCCACAAGTACTCCTTTTCTTTTTGTGAATACAGACTAACACAGCTGTTACTCTGAAACCTGTGTATTTATATACTGTGCTATACTAATTATATACT